AGTGTGGAAATTAGGAGAAGGTGTGGAGTTAATAAAAGCATTAGTCAGAGGGCAGAAGAGGGGTTGTTGAGGTTTGGTTTGGTCTTTAGAGAGAATGGATCAAAGTAGAATGACATGGAAAGCATATAAATCTATAGGGGAAGGAAAGAGGGGTAGGGGTCGTCCTCGAAAGGGTTAGAAAGAGGGGGTAAAGGAGGTTTTGTGGGCGAGGGGCTTGGACTTCCAGCAAGCGTGCATGAGCGTGTTAGATAGGAGTGAATGGAGACGAATGATACTTGGGACCTGACGATCTGTTGGAGTGTGAGCAGGGTAATATTTAGTGAAGGGATTCAGGGAAACCAGTTATTTTCATATAGTCGGACTTGAGTCCTGGAAATGGGAAGTACAATGCCTGCACTTTAAAGGAGTGGTTTGGGATATTGGCAGTTTGGAGGGATATGTTGTGTATCTTTATACGTATATGCTTCTAAGCTGTTGTATTCTGAGCATCTCTGCAAAAGCAGTGATAATGTGTGAGTGTGGTGAAAGTGTTGAATGATGATGAAAGTATTTTCTTTTTGGGGATTTTTTCTTTTTTTTTTGGGTCACCCTGCCTCGGTGGGAGACGACCGACTTGTTGAAAAAAAAAAAAAAATGAATATATCTCTTCAGGAGCAAGGGGCTAGTAACCCCTTCTCCTGTATATATTACTACATAAATATAAAAGGAAATACTTTCGTTATTCCTTTTGGGCCACCCCACCTTGGTGGGATACGGCCAGTGTGTTGAAAGAGAGAAAGAATATATCTCTTGTCTTATACAAATTTTGATTCACCTATAATTAATAATCTACTGTACAACTATGAAATAATTACTATCCTACTGTACAACTACTGTACACTTACTCACCCACAACTAAGTAAATACAGTGGACCCCCGCATAACGATTACCTCCGAATGCGACCAATTATGTAAGTGTATTTATGTAAGTGCATTTGTACGTGTATGTTTGGGGGTCTGAAATGGACTAATCTACTTCACAATATTCCTTATGGAAACAAATTCGGTCAGTACTGGCACCTGAATATACTTCTAGAGTGAAAAAATATCGTTAACCGGGGGTCCACTGTACTGAATAATTGTATCTCATAAATTGTATCTCATATATGTATCTCATATATGTATCTCATATATGTATCTCATTATTGTATCTCATAAATGTCAACCTGTGACCCAGACAAACTTTGTTACTATTTAACTTCATTACCTAACAGAATACTCCATTCTAGTGATTACACAGCAACACAGTAAATGACCATATGACCTGTCTTTGTAATACTCATTTGTACTAAATTGTTATCTGTTTTACAATAATTTTTGTACCACTGAATATATCATTGCTTAGTTAATCTTAAGTTAATTTTAAGCCTGCCCGTAATGCTCTGCATACAAGGGACTTTGGCATGTTGCACTGTAAAAATTGTATTCCTTGTACTTCTCTGTATCATGTTCAAATTAATAAATAAATAAATAAATAAAATTCTTAGTGTTAAGTAGTCTGTAAGCCAATAATGTTAAGTTGGCCCATAATGCCTATGCATAATAGAGGTTCTCTTTGCATTGCAACCCACTATTGTAAATACAAAATCTCAATGTACTGTTTGCAAAGACATAAAATAAATAAGTAAATAATTAATATATGATGGTGTAAACTTGTTATCAGGTGTTTTACACGTATTCAATAATGGAAAATATTCACTTCTCCACCCGCTGGCGATTTTCGCTTACCATACAAGATCGCAAGCTTAAAAGTCGTACAAATGGGGCCCTCCTGTACTTAGATTATGAAATGTTTTATGTAGACTAATAAAAGGTGATAATAGTCTTTCTAATAATGAAGTGAAGTGTCAAAAATCCTTTTGAGGCATGCCAGTTTTTTCGTGACCTTTTACCCTTTCAGGGTCGGGACCCCTGCTCTCAAACTTGTTCTCAGGGTCGGAAAATTTAAAAAAAAAATATTTTTTCTTATGAAATGGTAGAGAATCTTTTTCTGAAAGGTAATAAAACAAAAGTACAAAATTTGATGGAAAACTGACAAAATTACACTTTCGCGAATTTTACAGTGTCAGCAATATTTATACCGCCAATTTCGTCCAATTTGAGTCCAATTTTAGGCCAATTCCATTGTTCCACTTGACCAAATTCTTAGCTGTTTCTCTGGTGCGCCTTCCATTCTATCAATTGAGTACAAGAAACTACCCGTTCAACTATTTCACCTAGTGCAGCATTTTTCAGTTATACCTTTTCTTCATTTATTCAGACTTCCTACAGTAAATATACTCATCATTCACTATAAGCTAAGGGTGAAAATATTTTAAGGTAAGTAACATTTATTTTATTTTTATTATCACACTGGCCGATTCCCACCAAGGCAGGGTGGCCTGAAAAAGAAAAACTTTCACCATCATTCACTCCATCACTGTCTTGCCAGAAGGGTGCTTTACACTACAGTTTTTAAACTGCAACATTAACACCCCTCCTTCAGAGTGCAGGCACTGTACTTCCCATCTCCAGGACTCGAGTCCGGCCTCCCGGTGTACTGTATATGCATTATTTAGGCCTAGCTTTATTGCTTGCTTAATATGTGATAGTGTAAAAATGTTATCAGGCTTTTATATGCATTTGAAAATGGAAAAAAGACTTTTACTTTATGGCAATTTTCATTTTACAACATTAACCCGGAAGCTAACCTGCTGTATAAGTGGGGCCCTCCTGTAGCCTGGAACCTAACCTGCTGTATAAGTGGGGCTCTCCTGTAGCCTGGAACCTAACCTGCTGTATAAGTGGGGCTCTCCTGTAGCCTGGAACCTAACCTGCTGTATAAGTGGGGCTCTCCTGTAGCCTGGAACCTAACCTGCTGTATAAGTGGGGCTCTCCTGTAGCCTGGAAGCTAACCTGCTGTATAAGTGGGGCCCTCCTGTAGCCTGGAACCTAACCTGCTGTATAAGTGGGGCTCTCCTGTAGCCTGGAACCTAACCTGCTGTATAAGTGGGGCTCTCCTGTAGCCTGGAACCTAACCTGCTGTATAAGTGGGGCTCTCCTGTAGCCTGGAACCTAACCTGCTGTATAAGTGGGGCTCTCCTGTAGCCTGGAACCTAACCTGTTGTATAAGTGAGGCCCTCCTGTAGCCTGGAACCTAACCTGCTGTATAAGTGGGGCCCTCCTGTAGCCTGGAAGCTAACCTGCTGTGTTGCAACCCCTTAATGGGTTGCAATGATTATTATGTATATATATAATTATTATCTTTTCATATAATTTTATACTGCTTATATTTGAGATAATAGCTAAATCGTGAATATATTGCTTTATAATATTATTTGATGTAGTTATGTTGTTAGGTAGGATGTTACATATTATGTGCTCAGTTCAAGTCTTGATTGTCTAACTACTGTAATTATCGCTAGTGGCTCGTTAGACTGCCGGCTTCTGTTTGTGCTACAGCTGTCCACGGGGGTGGGGGGGGGTGTCCTCACCTCGCCTGAAGTATTCAGTCTGGTGTAGACTCTCTTGGTGGTTGGACAGATTGTCTGTCTCATTATTCTTGTTAGTTCTGTAGAACTCTGTTCACAGAACATTGTATAGACTTAGTGATTTTCGATGTTGTACTGAGGTTGTGTGTCTCATAGACACACTGAGTAACTCAGGTCCTGAGCTGTGGCTTCAGACCTAACTTGTACTGGTATCTGTGTATAATCACTGTCGGGGATTTTCTTATGCTGAACTTAGATTCAGTAGTATGGGAGTTTTGTGACTTTTGTGGAGGATCTGCAAATGGTCCCTACTTAGTGTCGTTATATTATTTCCTTGTTCCTGATTCTGTGTCGCAGTTGCTTGTTATATTGCTATTGGGGTTAACATTCTTTTTATTGTTCAAGCAGACTGTTCTGATTGCCAGTTGGTCAAGAAGTTAGTTTATGTGAGGACTTTGTCAGTCACTTGTTTAAGTCTAGTAGAGTCTTGAGACATAGCGAACTACTTAGAGCACTTACACACTTACACAAACTTGTACATATTTGTAATATCTTATTAAATGTTAATGTACCAGACGGTACTTAAGAATTATAAATGTGATATGTGCTTTCAGCACAATACTATTATATGCGAGAGAAGTGATATTATTTTAATTACTGTGATTAATTTAATTTAATTTGATATACACCTAGACAACTTAATGACTAATAAATTTATTAAATTTTAATTTATCTAGTTAGTAGCCTACCAGTTGTAATCCTGAAGCACTATTGAATCATACTGAATTCTAATGGATAATTGGACAAGGATACTGACTACTTGTTACGAAAACCCAGTAACAGGCTGGATGCTAGAAGGGCAGTCCTTTCTAGTATTCACTGGAGATCTCTAAGCTTTTAGAATCGCATTTTTTGTAACATGCTGTATAAGTGGGGTCCTCCTGTAGCCTGGAACCTAACCTGCTGTATAAGTGGGGCCCTCCTGTAGCCTGGAAGCTAACATGCTGTATAAGTGGGACCCTCCTGTATCCTGGAAGCTAACCTGCTGTATAAGTGGGGCCCTCCTGTAGCCTGGAAGCTAACCTGCTGTATAAGTGGGGCCCTCCTGTAGCCTGGAAGCTAACCTGCTGTATAAGTGGGGCCCTCCGGTAGCCTGGAAGCTAACCTGCTGTATAAGTGGGGCCCTCCTATAGCCTGGAACCTAACCTGCTGTATAAGTGGAGCCCTCCTATAGCCTGGAACCTAACCTGCTGTATAAGTGGGGCCCTCCTATAGCCTGGAAGCTAACTTGCTGTATATACAGAGCCCTTCAGTGTGTGCTTTTCTATGGCTATGAGCACCGTTTGATCTATACACTCGAAGTGCTCCATAGATGCTACTTTGACTACTGCTACAGCATAAAACACTTGCACTGTGCTCATTTTGAATAAATAAGCTTAATTTAATTCTCTGTGTTCATTGCCTATAAATTTTTTTTTTTTCACTCCACAGGATATAGTAACAGAAAGTGCCTCCTTTGACTTGGTTGCATTTATTCCTGTCCTGCGTGAGAAGTTGTATGTAAATAATCACTGGGCACAGACGCTGGTGGTGTCATGGGTCTCGGTGCTGCACACAGTACCAGATGTTGACACCCTCTTGTTCCTCTCCGAAATTTTGGAAGGGCTGTTTTTCATCCTGGAAGCTCCCAAGCCAGAAGTGAAAAAAATGTGAGTTTTTCAGTGGCATGTATTAAAATATCCTGATTAAGACACATGTGCAGCAGTTGGGTATCTTTATTGTTAAAACATTTCATCTACAAAATAGGCTTCTTCAGTCAAATACAGAGGCTGCAGGTGTAATAGTGAAATGATAATGTAATCAATCCATCAACCTTGAAGAAATAGTACTTGAGGAGGTCAGTCCCTTAGCCAGAAGAAGAGTTCAGTTCCACAGAGCTGAACTCTTCTCCAGGCTGAGGGACTGACCACCTCATATCTCCAAGGTTGATGGACTGGTTACATTATCATTTCATTACAACACCTGCTGCCTCTGTATTTGGCTGAAGAAGCCTACTGTTTAGGCAAAACATTTTAACAATAAAGATACCCAACTGTTGCACATGTCTTAATCATCAACTTGTCAGTATTTTATACCATTTTCAACATTAAAATATTCTGCGATTGTTCACTTTTCTTCCTCTGAAATTTTGGAGGGATTGTTTTATATGATGAATTTAGACAATTGTGCAACACTTGGGTATCTTTATTGTGGAAATATTTTGCCAGCCAGTGGCTTCCTCAGTCCAATACAGAGAAGAATAGTTGAAGATCAGATGGAGTTTAATGTAATCAATCCTTCTTCATAGAGCTGACATAATCAGTCAGTGGCTTCCTCAGTCCACTACAGGACTGAGGGAGCCATTTGTTGGTGAAAAGTTTCCAGTGTACACAAGTATTGCACAAGTGTCTCATTTATTAATATGTCGGTTCTCTGAACCATTTATCTGCATTATTCTCTATATTGGAGTTTTCCAAGCCTGAAGTGAAAAATAAATAAGCTTTTTTCATTGGTATACACATAAGAATCTAATATAAAAAAGAAAGAATACTGCAAGAGGCCTACTGGCCCGTTGTTGGAGGTGGTCAGTCCCTTAGCCTTTGTTTGTCAGAGACAGTCAGTCCCTCTAACCAGAAACAGAGACATTGGTTTAGGAGACAGAATGAGATCTCTGTTAAGACTTATATTAGACTGCAGTTGGTGGCCATGTTAATTTTATTAACCATACAATATTAACCATATTAACCTTAGCAACCTACAGTAGGTGACTAGTTAGAGAATTCATTATTGAAATTGTAGTGTCCCATGTCCACACAGTTGAGTGTATTTGCCTGCTCCTAGTTACATTCCCCCCACACTCCATCATGAAAAATTTACACTTTTAAGAGCATAAGAACATAAGGCACACTGCAGCAGGCCTACTGGCCTTTGCGAGGCAGGTTCAAGTCTCCCACCAGCTTAAGCCAATGACCCAATCTAGTCAGGTCAGTTCATATCCACTTAAGGAAGGAGCATGGCATCAGCCCTATTAGAACAAGCTAGTCAAGTCTACTTGAGTAAAAAGTACATAAGTATATATAGGCAGCATAGTGATGCGAGGTACACAGTAAACTAGCCACTACCATCCACAGGATGGATGCAAGGTACACTATAAGAGGATAAGAAAGAACACTGCAGCAGGCCTACTGGCTCATGCGAGGCAGATCCAGGTCTCCTACTGGCTTAAGTCAATGGCCCAACCAAATCAGGTCAGGTCACAACCACTTAAGAAAGGAATATGACATCAGACCTACTAGCACAAGCTAGTCAGGCCAACTCACACCCACTTATATATTTTCTTTCTTCTTTCAAAACACCGGCCGTATCCCACCGAGGCGGGGTGGCCCAAAAGGAAAAACGAAAGTTTCTCCTTTTACATTTAGTAATATATACAGGAGAAGGGGTTACTAGCCCCTTACTCCCAACATTTTAGTTTCCTCTTACAACACACATGGCTTACGGAGGAAGAATTCTGTTCCACTTCCCCATGGAGATAAGAGGAAATAAACAAGAACAAGAACTAGAAAGAAAATAGAAGAAGACCCAGAAGGGTGTGTGTATATATATGCTTGTACATGTATGTGTAGTGTGCCCTAAGTGTAAGTAGAAGTAGCAAGACATACCTGAAATCTTGCATGTTTATGAGACAGACAAAAGACACCAGCAGTCCTACCATCATGTAAAACAATTACAGGCTTTCGTTTTACACTCACTTGGCAGGACGGTAGTACCTCCCTGGGCGGTTGCTGTCTACCAACCTACTACCTAGGACTTACATATTTGTCTAACATTTTCGCTCCTATGACGGTACTCGGAAGTTTGTTCCACTCGTCCACAATTCTATTACCAACCAGTGTTTTCTTATATCTTTCCTGAATCTGAATTTTTCAACTTGAAACCATTGCTTGCAATCCTTTCCCTTTTTTCCACCTTCTTCCTCTAAACACGCATGCATACACATGGAAGATGGCAATTGTAGTCCCAAATTTTGAAAAAGGAGACAGACACAAAGCATTGAAATACAGACCTGTGTCACTAACATGTATAGTATGCAAAGTCATGGATAAGATCATTCAGGAGGAGTGTGGTGGAGCACCTTGAAAGACACAAGCTTATAAATGACAACCAGCACGGTTTCAGGGAAGGAAAGTCCTGTGTCACAAACCTGGAGTTTTATGACATGGTGACAGAAATAAGACAAGAGAGAGAGGGGGGTGGATAGACTGCATTTTCTTGGACTGCAGGAAGGCCTTCGACACAGTTCCTCACAAGAGGTTAATGCAAAAGCTAGAGGATCAGGCACACATAACAGGAAAGGCACTGCAGTGAATCAGATATCTGATATGGAGGCAACAACGAGTCATAGTACATGATGAGGTGTCAGAGTGGGTGCCTGTAATGAGTGGGGTTCCACAGTGCTGTTTTTGGTATATGTGAATGACATAACGAAAGGGATAGACTGAGAAGTGTCCTTGTTTGCAGATGATGTGAAGTTAATGAGGAGAATCAAATTGGTTGAGGATCAGGCAGGACTACAGAGAGACCTGGGCAGGCTACAAGCCTGGTCCAGCAACTGGCTCCTTGAATTTAACTCTGCCAAATGCAAAGTCATGAAGATCAGGGAAGGGCACAGAAGGCCACAGACAGAGTATAGTCTAGGTGGCCAAAGACTGCAAACCTCACTCAGGGAAAAAGATCTTGGGGTGAGTATAATACCAAGCACGTCTTCTGAGGCGCACATCAATCAAGTAACTGCTGCAGCATATGGGCATCTGGCAAACCTAAGAATAGCATTCCAGTACCTCAATACAGAATCGTTCAAGACTCTGTACACCATATACGTCAGGCCCATATTGGAGTATGCAGCACCAGTTTGGAATCCACACCTGGTCAAGCACATCAAAAAATTAGAGAAAGTGCAAAGGTTTGCAGCAAGACTAGTCCCAGAGCTAAGGGGATTGTCCAACGAAGAAAGGTTAAGGGAAATCGGCCTGATGACACTGGAGGACAGGAGGGTCAAGGGAGACATGATAACGACACAAAATACTGTGAGGAATTGACAAGGTGGATAAAGACAGGATGTTCCAGAGATGGGACACAGAAACAAGGAGTCACAATTGGAAGTTGATGACTCCTATGAGTCAAAAGGATGTTAGGAAGTATTTCTTCAGTCTTAGAGTTGCCAGGAAGTGGAATAGCCTAGAAAGTGACATAGTGGAGGCAGGAACCATACATAGTTTTAAGACAAGGTTTGATAAAGCTCATGGAGCAGGGGAGAGTTGACTTAGTAGCAGTCAGTGAAGAGGCATGGCAAGGAGCTCGGACTCGACCCCTGCAACCTCAACTAGGTGAGTACTAGGCGAGTACACGCATGTACGTGTGTATATTCACACACACACACACATGTTCACACACATTCATGCATGAACAAACATTTGCATCACAAATTCTCACATGCTGACACTTCAGCTAGATGGGTTTGGGAGTGAGTATGGGGTGGATGGAGCTGGTAAAGAGGAAATGGTCACCAGCAGTGAGAGTGGCAGCTGCTTTAAGTGGCAAGTGGCTCACAATTCAGGAAGAAGGAAAATAAGGAAGGTTAATAGAGAAGATGTGAAGGTAGGAAATCGATTCTCTGTTCTCCAGGACAAGTGTACTTCAGTGGTTAGTGAGGTTAAAGGTACAACTGACTCCCCTGCTAATCAAGGTAAGAATATTCTGATTATGGGAGACTCTCAGGTAAGATATATGGACTGTGCTTTTTTTAACAGAGATAGGAAGGTCAGACAGAGGGTGTGCCTCCCAGGAGCTGGTGTTGGTGGTGTAGTCAGCAGGTTGGATATTATTATGCCAGGTAATGGGAACAAGCCCATTATTTGTCTTAGTGCTGGTGGTAATGACATTGGGAAGGGCAGGAGATAGGAGCTACTGGATAAGTACAGGTCAGCCATAGAAGTAATCAGGTCTAAGGGAGGGACCCCAGTCATATATAGCATCTTGCTTAGAAAAGGAGTAGGCAATGAATGGATGTCTAGGGCAATTGGTATAAATTGCTGGCTAGACAGGTACTGCAAGGAACTTACAATCCCATTCATTGATAACTGGGTCAAATTATATGGCAAACGTGATATGTATGCAAGGGATGGGGTTCGTCTCTCTGGGGCTGGAGTGGTTGCATTAGCCAATTCGATTGAAGGGGTAATTGATGACTTGTCTAGGACTTTAAACTGATAGATTATAGAGGTATGGGTGTTTGTGGGAAATAATCAGGCTGCAGTATTAGGGTTGAAAACAGCAGATATTACCAGGATACCTCAGGGATATGTTTAAAAGACAATATTCAAAATAAAGTTGCTAGTAAAGGCAGAGCAATTGATCAACAAACAGAGAGAGATAGTAGAGGGCAACAAGTGACTAGCTCTCTTAAAGTTTACTATACAAATACAGTGGACCCCCGCATAGCGAACGCCTTGCATAGCGAACAATCCGCATAGCGGACGCTTTGTTCGCTAAAATTTTGCCCCGCATAGTGGACAAAAACCCGCTCAGCGGCCTTCGTCCGAGACGCGTCCAATGTGCGCCCTCAGCCAGCCTCACATGTGCCGCCCGTCCCATTGTTTACCAGCCAGCCTCCGCGGTAACATTCAAGC